CCGCCACGCCCTCTCCCTTTACTCCCTCCTCCTCGGATCCGGTCACCGCCCGGACCCCTCCTCCATCTCCTCCGCCCTCAAATCCTGCGCCCACCTCAACTCCAAACCCCTCGCCTCCTCAATCCATTCCCAGATCGTAAAGCTCGGCCACCAGTCCAACGTCTACACCCAAACTGCCCTTGTCGATCTCTACTCTAAACTCGACGGCCTCGACGCCGCTCGCAAGCTGTTCGACGAAATGCCGGTCAGAAATGTGGTCTCTTGGAACGCCATGTTAGCCTCCTATTTGCGAGCTGGAGACTTGGCCTCGGCCCGGAGGGTATTTGACTCGATGCCCAATAGAGACGTGGTGACATGGAATTCGATGATCTCGGGCTATGCGAAAGCTAAGCAGATGGATCGTGCTAGAGAGCTGTTCTGTTCGATGGAGGAACGGAATGCGGGGTCTTGGAACGGGATTATGAGCGGGTATGTTGATATTGGTGATTTGGAGAGTGCAAGGAAAGTGTTCGATGAAATGCCGATGAGAAGCAACGTTTCTTGGATCACAATGATTTCTGGGTACGCGAGAAACGGAGATGTTTCTGTCGCAAGGATTTTGTTCGATGCAATGGAGTTTAGAGACGTTTTTTGCTGGAATGCGATGATTTCTTGTTATGCGCAAAATGGTCACCCGGGCGAGGCGATTCAGTTGTTTAATAAGATGAGAAAGCCTGACTCGGGGGTTACTCCTGATGAAATGACATTATCTAGCGTTATATCGGCTTGTTCGCAATTAGGGGACCTGAGATTTGGATCGTGGGTAGAGGAGTACATGTGTTGTTTGGATATTAGATTGGATCACCATTTGAGTACTGCTCTTATAGATTTGTATTCAAAGTGTGGGTGCATGGACCAGGCATTTAAGCATTTCAGTGGACTGAAGACGAGGGACACAGTAGCATATAGCGCGATGATATTGGGATGCGGGGTAAATGGGAGACCTAAGGATGCCGTCAAAATGTTTAATTTGATGGCGCAGGACGAGGTTGTGCCCAACGAAGTTACATTCATTGGGCTCTTAACGGCGTATAATCACGCTGGCTTGATTGAAGAAGCTCGAGTTTGTTTTGATTTAATGTGGAGCAAGTATAATGTGTTGCCCTCAGCGGACCACTATGCTATCATGGTTGATAGTTTGGGGAGGAGCGGGAGATTGGACGAAGCCTATGAGTTGGTGAAAAAGATGCCGATGGAGCCTCATACAGGGGTTTGGGGTGCATTGCTTCTTGCCTGTAGATTGCATGGGAATGTTGAGTTAGGGGAGGTTGCTGCTGAGAATTGTATTGCGTTGGAGCCGGAGGCGAGTGGATATTATGTTCATCTGGCGAATATTTATGCTGAAACTGGAAAGTGGGCGAAGTCGAAGAAAGTACGGAGAATGATGTTGGAAAAGGGGCTGAGTAAAATGGTCGGCTGTAGTTGGGCAACAAGCTAAATGGCAAGCACTCTCTGAGCTA